CTTTGTGGAATGGGCCCCTGATCTGCACTTGAACGTCCCTTTTCTGAATCCTAACTGGATTTTGTGAAAAGTACATGTCGGTGATAGCTGTAGTATTGTTCTTTCGAAGTAAGTTTTTTCGTCCAGCTGGGTCTGAATCCTGTCATGAGAATCTTGGTAACAATGTCCTAGTCACACATGCAAGAAGACACCAGCTTGAGATCGAATCGATTTTCAGTTCATATGCATAGATGTTTGTCATTAAGCGTGAAACGTTACGTTTCAAAGAAACTGTTCAGTCTTGCACCAAAACAACGCGCACGTGTATTGTTTCTGATTATTATTATTATTATTATTATTATTATTGTCATTGGAGTTTTGAGTTTTAACTCCCAATTCAAATTGTTTGCAGACATGCCCTTTTCTCTCGACAGGTAATATTTACATGGTTTACTTTGTATAATTGTCTTTTTGTTTATCAGAAACTCGAAATATGAGTATCGGAAGCAATGCTGTTTCTCCTTTCATAAACATAAAACACGGTCGTCCTGTAAGAGATGACAATTTCTTGATTCTGAGATATTGCAATTTTTCTATATACTAGTTGGAATATAATAGAATAACGAAGTTGTCCTCGACACAATATCACGCCTCTCCCGTCACTTAACATCTAAGTAGTGAGGAAGATATAAACAGAAACAGTTAAGGCAAAGCAGCTACTTTTTGTGGATCCCGATTAAATTATTCATCATCTCTCAGTCAATAACAATAATCGTTGAGGTACAAAGTTGAGATGACACAAATAGGCATCCTTGGTTTTTAAGTGATGCCATGTAGACTACTTGACTGAAACTGTTCAAAGCAGGGGCCAGTCTGATTATATGTTCCCTGTTTACAAATTAGTTGTGACGATGAACAGCTTCTCGATATATTTACCGAAGTTAATCTCTACGCTGTCACCAATGATCAGGATTGTTCGAATTCGAACCAATGCTTGTTGCGAGAGGACACTAACAGGATCGGGTGGAAGGGCTCGCTGATGTCTATCACTGGATTGTCCTATCCAGACTCGATTATTTACAGACCACATGTCATTTTGCTGGAATTGTGGTGAGAGTGGCTTTAAACAGTTAACAAAACACCAAATAATGTGGTGTTTTGTTTTTAAATGTTTTAAATATTTTTATTGTTCCCAAATATACAAGCATGGTATAATGTGGTATTGTATTGATTCTGTTAAGCTAATGGCAACTGTTGAAGAAAATACTGATAGTGAATGTTTCGACGCAAAGAAAACGAAACTGCTTAAGATTGAAAGGCTGTCAACACATGCTTACTGATGTATGTCATCAAGTGTAATGCATTTCGTTTCAAAGAAGTGTTAAGTCTTTTATAGCAATATAATAGTATAAAGAGGTTATATCGACACAATATCTCGCCTCTCCAGTCACTTACCATCTAAGTAGTGAGGCAGAAATACAAAAATGCAAAGCAAAGTAGATACTGTTTATGGGTCCCGATTCAATTATTTAGCATCTCCCAGTCAATAACAAGCTTTTAAAGAATCGTCTAAATACAAAGTTGAGATGACACAAATACGCATTGCTGGTCACCTGGTTCACACATGATGCACTGTAGACTAATTGACTGAAAGTGTTGAAAGATTGATAATGATGGTGAACAGCTTTTTAATATATTTATATGGCGCACCCCACAGGTGTTCTCTTGCGTCAGTATTGACATCATTGTGGAACAATGGCGCTGAACGACCAAGGGATTCACAGGAACTTGTTAGAATCATAAGGGCTTTAGGTGCAGCCTTCGGTGACTGTCACTGTCTAAGAATCACGAAAAGTGGATCTCAGTGGTATGTGAACAACGTGCCACCCTAGTTAATTTAATTCATTGAAATTTAAAAGACAATTCAATTTCCAACCTGTTTTAAAAGCTGTGTTTCTTTTGCACCTCAGTAAGTATTACCAGTTGCCGATCTAGTGGTAGATGACATGCTGCGATCTAACAAGGATACTCTATCAATGATTCAGAGTACAAAGCTAAAGCTGTCTATATGACTTGCAGCCAGCAGAAACACATGTTGGTCTCCGTGACCTCCACAACAAAACAGAAACAAATTGGAATGCAACTATTTACTCTTCAAATGATTATAAAATATTACATTCATATGGTATATGTACATCAAGATATAGCATACCGGTATATACTGTACATATATTCTACAGTAAATATCATTGTAAACTTGAGTTTATGTAGAAGGCATTATAAGTACTCTAGCAGCTGATTAGACAATCAACAGCGACAAGGACCTACAAGGACATTGATGGTCAGAATAGACCAAGAAAACGCCATCTTTCTGGGACAATGAAACATGATCAACATCAGATGACATGCAGACTGTGAGTTGCCACAAAGAAAATTGATATAATAATGACAAGATCATGACAAACATGATCACGAAGAAACATTAGTGACAATACCAAAGTAAGGTTTGACACATTTAGAAACTGACAAGATGGTATCTATTCTGGAACCTGTAACAAGAAAATTCATATTTGATAGTTATTGGAAATAGACATGACACTAATTTTGCAAGGACAGTACTTTGGCTGGGCCAGAAATCAGCGAAGGTGAGACAAGTACATTACTATGGTAGGAGAGTGGTTCAAGGACATGACAATAATTTGAGAAAAGCTGAGCCAGAAAAAATACACAAAAGTGAGTTTGGGAAGGAATAATGGACATGAAAGTAAGGAACAAGGATATGGCATTCAAGCTGTGAGAATATGTGGCAGAAGCCTTGGAGGACACACAAATGTGTCTGGTAGGCTGGGACAAGGAAAGGGTATGCTGGCAATTGCACAATGGGACAAAACATGGAGAGTCTTGGACAAGGATAAGGAAGCCTGTCCTGGATAAAGGTTGGAGTTCTTAATACAACAAACAATATACAACTTCACATCACAGTTCTCTTATCATGCTGTCTTCATCCTGCTATCCCATCCTCTTTTGTAAAGATCAATGAAATGTACTGATACGTCTTGTTTGCCAATCCTTACAGTTCACCAATCAAGAGCAAGGTTGGTATTTGAGCAACACGCTTATAAAACAAACTACTGTTCAAAGTCTACTCAAGTTTAGAATATTCTCTTGGATATATGACAGAAACAGGTCTGAACATGGTGGTGTAAATGAACAATCATATTACTGATCACTAAAATACATAAGCACTAGAAATCATATTGTATAGATATTTATGCTAAAATATTGTGTTTTGCACACCAAAATGCTTCAAGAATAAAATATAAGGATTCTTCACAATAAACATGAACTGGTGATAAATAAAATCAGTGATAATATTACGCATGAAAGCACCAAATATAAAACAGAAATACATGTATTGGATACAAATCTGTAAATAATGTATAACAATTGAATAAAATGACTCGCACATGTCAAAATGCAGACACGCTGAACTTGCACTGTAAGTTAAACAAAACACCATTTCAAACTGGATTACTGTAGGTTTCAGGGTGAGATTGCTAAACTGCTGGTCAAACAAACATATATACCACCCTCAATTTCAATACACTAACCCCAATAGAATACACGCTTTAAAATTTCAACTTTGTAGAAAGGAAAATATTAATGACAACATTTGATCCTATTTCAATCCTTAACTGGTCGACATACAAAATTTAATAAACTTACAAGAAGTGTGAAATCAAAAGATTGCAAATATATAACCATAGAAGAACATGATCTAATATTCAATTTTTCAAAATTTAATGTTAATAAATAAAAATAATAGTGTCTTAGCAAGACTTGTAGCGTAACCATGGTAACTGAAATGGAAGCACCGCCATATGTGGTTCAAAATACACATCAGTGTGTGGTAATCAGCAGCATTTCAGGACAGGCAAGTCAGACAAAGCAGTTCTAAATTGCAGAGAGACGGCTCCCAATACTGTTCAGGACTTTTGCGCCATCATCATTTCCCATAGCAGAATCTGTAGGTACTCCTCTTTTACATGCAAGTTAAGGTTATCTTTATAGTTGTTAGTATATTCCTGTGTTTCCTTCTACACTTGACATGCTGGCATGGATTAGCATTCAATATATCTAATACCAATGACTAAACTCATCTTATTTCTTCCACAAGTTAGAATTAATAGGAATTCATCAAATTTACACAAATTTTACTATTATCATTGTTTACCAGTGCTTTCCATCCTTCAAATGCCTGAACACATATCAAGCATTTTCATAGTCTAACTTCATCACATAACAATATTTCTAAACACGTTTTATATGTATGGAAGGTATCTTAAAGCAGTAGAAAATTCCTGGAGATAGAAGTGTCAGGTTACAACTTAATGCGACTAATATATGGACTACCAAGCCTCATTATTACATTGTTTCCAAAAGTCATCCCACCAATATGTGTTTAGGTTTGTAACATAGGCTACTTGAAAAAGAAAGAAACATTTATTCCACAATCGTCATGAAGCATAAAACCAAACGAGATATTCCAACAGTAACATTTTTATAAACCATTCATTGCAAATAAATCCCCCCTTGCATTAATTAACAAATACTCGCCACAAACAGGACTGTCTCCACACACAACCTGCCTACATAAAGGCCCTGTTTGATAAGGAACTCAAGGACCTGCCTGTTTGACAAGGTACTCAAGAACCTGCCTAATTATACTGTACTCAAGGCCGTTTGATATGACTGACTGACTGAGTTTGGTTTTACGCCGCTTTTAGCAATATTCCAGCAACATCACGGCGGGGGACACCAGAAATGGGCTTCACACATTGTGCCCATGTGGGGATTCGAACCCGGGTCTTCGGCGTGACGAGCCAACACTTTAACCATTAGGCTACCCCACCGCCCCCGTTTGATATGAAACTCAAGGACCTGCCTGTTTGATAAGGTACTCAAGAACCTGCCTAATTATACTGTACTCAAGGCCCTGTTTGATATGAAACTCAAAGACCTGCCTCTTTGAAGGTACTCAAGAACCTCCTTGATAAGGTAAACAAGGACTATTAAACAAGACACTTAAGGACCTGCCTGTTAAACAAGACAAGCTATCAATGAACACATATCAACACTCAACAAATACAGTAGAAACCAGTCAAATAACAGCGTACATAGTACCAGTCAAACTAACAGGGTTGAGACATAGTATATGTCAAAGTCTGCTGACTAGAAAAGGGAATTTCTGAAATTAATGAACAGATGGAGTAACATTAAACAGTCATGTAAGAAATCATACAGGTAAGGCACAGCTACACACCTCCTAACACTGCCGGTTAAATTCTGTAACAACAACGTCATGAAATTGTTTGTTTGTTTGTTAGTTGTTTAATGCCACATACAGTTATATGGAAGCAGTCTGTAAATTATTAAGTCTGGACCAGACAATCCAGTGATCAACAGCATGAGCATCGATCTACACAATTGGGATACGATGACATGTGTCAACCAAGTCAGCGAACCTGACCAACCAATCCCGTTAGTACGTCATGAAATAAGATGAGAGTTAGGATATATTGTTCTGGCGAAGACTGGTGATTATTACCCCAAGATTGAATTATCAGTAGTGTGTACAGATGAGGACATACATGCATATAATAATGTTAAAGAGGCTGATAGGAATGTTTGCCATTGATACATCAGCAGTAACAGCATCAGTGTGTTCAACTCTTCAGAGTCAGACTCCTTCCAATATCTTGGGCTTCATCCTGACCTACACAGAAACACATGCACACATGTGGAGGCTGTTTGAATATGCCTCTGTTCACACAGCAGTAAAATTGGGAACCCGGAAGTATGGAGACTGTGAACATTCTACTGTCTGGCAAAGCAGGTTGAATTGAATGATCCCCAGGAAGCTGAGAATGTTAATCAAGTGTACACTGATCCATTGACCGGGACAACAGTGTCAGCATTTTGAGCATGATTCTTGTCTATGGAGCCTCATTTACTTTAAGTACACACATTATTTATTATCATCACCATCCAAGTTTATACTAAGTATATGTGAATAAGCTACTTCTTAGCTATACGAAGTACAAACATCAATATACCTTCATGTTCACAATGGATGAATACTGGCATTAACAAAGAACAGTATAGCAAGCAATACTGAAACATGACCTCACCTCAGTATTTTGTGTTATGGAAGTGCAAGTATAACTCATACTAAGACTATGTGACTGGCAACCAAGAAGGTTAATGAGCATGAAATGATTACTATTTCAGCTAGGCAAAGCCATCAACCACACACCACTGTACATCCTAAATGATACCAGTTCACAATTGTTTGTTTGCTTTCTAAATATTTCCATCCTTTATTTGACATTTGACACATATCTACCACTGCCAGTGTAAATATATCAAGTGCTAAATACCTACTTGAGAAGGCATTATTATTCAAATCAATGTTTCATTTATTTCAATCAAGTCATGAAATATGTTTTGGTGTTTCATCATGTTCATGATTATACTTAACATAATTTGTGGTAATAACAAATCCTCTACAAGAACAGTGTATTGATGAAAAATAAAAGACAAACCCACAAAACAAAACATATACAAGGTTGACTTTGTACTTTCAACAAATGTAAATAATAAAACTTTATATGTCAAGCAATACTTTTCTGATAAATAATCACATAAATATGCAACACTATCCTACTAGAAAGGTTAGGAAAAGAAGTAAAAGTATTTTCATGAAAGAATATTGATAAGGATATTTCACACGAAGTCACCATGCACCTTAATTTGCATAAGAAAAGTCAGACACCAAATAATACATGCCCCAGTATTTTGATGTTTTTGTAAGTAAAATGCCTCTTGTGCACAACAGTTCAAAATGAACTGTATATTGCCCTGTGTCTTTGCTGTTTTCCTTGTCAACTGTGGTTTACTAAGACAAATCATGAACAAGGCACAAACACACCGGATACACAATGGACACACAGTGATCCATCACAACCGTGATGTCCTTCACATCCCCTGGTTCCTGGCAGTCTCAAACATGAACCACAGACAAGCACAATGGACACACAACCATGACAACCGTGATGTCCTTGACACATCCCCGGGTTCCTGGCAGTCTCGCACATGAACCACAGACAAGCTCAATGGACACACAACCATGACAACCGTGATGTCCTTGACACATCCCCGGGTTCCTGGCAGTCTCGCACATGAACCACAGACAAGCACAATGGACACACAACCATGACAACCGTGATGTCCTTGACACATCCCCGGGTTCCTGGCAGTATCGCACATGAACCACAGACAAGCACAATGGACACAAAGCCATGACAACCGTGATGTCCCTGACACATCCCCTGGTTCCTGAGAGTCTCGCACATGAACCACAGACAGGAAGAATGGACACACAGCCATGACAACCATGATGTCCTTCACACATCCCCTGGTTCCCGAAAGCATCCCACATGAACCACAGACAGGCAGCAATCATACTCTCGTCTACACAACCCACACAAACCAGAAAGACAATTCATCCCACTGCTGCGTACCTGGCACTTCACAGATCCACAACCCATAGAGTCTACATTATTGCATAGATCTAGTTGACTGTGCTGTGACTAGCAAGTTTAAACAGACTTATCACTATTGACACCGGAAGATTCAGAGTCATCGGAATCATCCTCATCATGTGTATGAGTGACTTTACGGGGTGTGTTGGCTCGAAGATGAAGCACATGTTTCGATGGTGATGATGTCTGACGAGCTCGTTTCTTAGGGCTTCCAAGTTCAGGTGTGCCGTTGACTGAGCGATTCCTCACAATTCCAGTGAAATCCTCTTCTTTCTCCTTCAGTGAAGGCTCATGTTCAACAGTAGATTCATGGGGCATCTGAAAGCAGAGTACAGATGGTTGCTGTTTACTAACCTATGAGTGAGTGAGTTAAGTTTTATGCCGCACTCAGCAATATTCCAGCTATAAATAATAGCTGTAAATTATTGAGTCTGAACCAGACAATCCAGTGATCAACAGCATGAGCATCAATCTGCGCAACTGGGAACCGATGACATGTCTCAACCAAGTCAGGGATCCTGACCACCTGAACCCGTTAGTCGCCACTTACGACAATCATGGGTTACTGAAGATCAATATTCTAACCCTGACCTTCACGGGTCACTAACCTATATTACAACAGCCTGAAGTCACCGAGGTCTTCACAAGACAAACCTCTGACTAACACTGTGAGCAATGGTCCTCACTGTCGGCTTGAATGACACACAAAAGCAAGTCTGGTCATCTTAATCATTAAGTTGCATCATACAGAAATACATTCCTGCGGGCCAATTCTTTCCTAGGCCCCACTGAGACACTCATATTGATCTGGTACACTACATCTGAGTTTACACAGCAGCAAGATGCACCCAGTATTACAGCTGGTGCATGGTAGCTATGGAAAATCTGTCCATTACTCAGAGACCAAAATACACGGACTTAGGAGGTGAGGTGAGGTGAAATTGGGTTTTACGTCGTGCTTGAGAATATTTCACTCATATGACGAAGTGCATGCGTGTGTATGTGTATTTGCGGCTGCTTGTACTAGCTGAGACTTAAGCTGGTTTTATAGTGCTAGCCCACTGAGATACCATGCCGCAGTGAAGCATGAATACCCCACTCAGACACATTGTACTGACTCCGAGCCGACCAGTCCTTGTTGTACCCATTAATGCCGCGCGCCAGGCAGGGACCAACAAGTACCATATTTTAACGTCTTTTGGTATGACGCTGTCGGGGATCGAACCCTCGACCTTCCGCTGCCCGGGCAGACGCTCTAACCACTACACCGCGGAGGCGGTTCATGGACTTAGGAAGTGAGTATGGTTCTATATCACTTTTTGCAATATTCTAGCAATATCACATCAGCGGGACATCAGATATGGGTTTCACACGTTGTACACATGTGGGGAATCAAACATGGGTCATCGGTGTGATGAACAGATGCTTTAACCACTAGGCTACCACACTGCCCTCCGTTGCAGAATAGAACCTGGGTCTTTAGGGTGATGAGCAAATGTTTTAACAACTAGTCTACCCCACCTCCTCCAATGGACTACGTCCTGCAGTTGCAAGGATGGATAATTCAGGCCCATAACGCTTGTCATACTTATTAAGCCATTGGACCGACTACTTGCAGAGTAGCATAACCTATCAGTGCATGATCTCGTACAAAATCAGTTTTTAAAGTTCATGAACATGAGCGATGACATCCCAGGCAGAATTTGAGTAGCACATTGCTTGTGACATATGGTAGTTACCAGCATGGCAGGAGCCCCGGAACAAGTAGCAGAATGGGTAGTGAAGGAGGTTCAGGAATGTCCCAGCATAGATGTCAGCATATCGCATCACCTGGGATGCTAAAAATGTCTGCCGAGAACCTGGAACATAACATGTGCATAAAACTGTGAACTGAAACCCTCACAGGACATTACTTGATACACTGTGGCCTAAAAAGTACCCATGAAATAAAGTGAAAGTAAAAATAACCCTTGAAACAAGTGTAAAAGTGATCACAGCTCACATACCCCGGCTTCCCACTTTTGGACATGGACTGACTGACTGAGTTTGGTTTTACGCCGCTTTTAGCAATATTCCAGCAACATCACGGCCGGGGACACCAGAAATGGGCTTCACACATTGTACCCATGTGGGGATTCGAACCCGGGTCTTCAGCGTGACGAGCCAACGCTTTAACCATTAGGCTACCCCACCGCCCTTTGGACATGGAAAGGACTGATATTGATATATATAATGTGACAAGGATCAGCTGCTCACAAGACTTTATCCTTGACTCCACCAAACTTTATACATGTAAACATGTTAGATAATAACCTAGCATATATAGTTTCGGTGATATGCTCCGGACAAGATAACCATCGAACACATTTTGCAATAAACTCGTGTTTCCATAGAAACAGTAAAAAATGTAATTCTGATAAACTTTAGAAAAGCAAAAGGCACATTTGTCGGTCATGATCAACTTGTGTGTTAAGTTGTATAGTTTCACTGATATGCTCTGGACAAGATGACCATCAAACACATTTTGCACTGTCATGTTTCCATGGAAACAGCAAAATTGTAATTTTTTGAATAAAATTGATATTTTATATTTATCCTGATTCATGCTCTTTTTGCTTGTCTTCTTCTTCTTGCGAACATAGTGGAACACTTGTATCTCCCTAATTAAAGCTCCCTTCAATTTAAAATCACTAATCAATACTCACCAAGAGTTGCCTCTCTTTGCTCCCTTTTGGCGGGAAAGGTGGCGCCACCACATCCCACATGCTTCACTCTCTCCTGTTTAACTAGCCCGACACTTGAATTTTCAGGGAAATCCAAAAGTGTCATGTGGGGAGGATGGGAGGGCTTACCTCATGAGTCAGGATAAGTATAAAATATCAATTTTATTCAGAAAATTACATATTTTTCCTTATCCTGACTCATGCTCTTTTTGCTTGTAGAATCCGACGGAATGTGAGGTGGGAACAGATACTTTGCATTTTAATTAGTGATTTAGATGTACGGGAACTTCATAAGGGCACTGTAATTAAATTAATTTCTGCTGCTATCATACATAAGTTCTACCAGCTGCCATAGATGGGGTACTACAATATTAAAATAATATAGGAATAAGCGACTCCAAATTGGAGAAGCGACCCAATAGTACATGTAACATAGGTACTGGGTTTTAAGACTAATGTAGGCTTAAGATATACAACTAGCAAAAAACTCTGTAGAGTTTGTAAGCTTGATAAATACTGATATAGTATATACAGATATAATCTCGTGAGACTATGTCTCATCGTCTACGAGGAACTGTCAACTGCTGTGCTAAAACCAATGGTCCGAAATGGTGAATACCTGAGACGTCCTCGGTGGCGATATCTCTCAGGTAGTGGTTAGCAAACACCATGTCGGATTTCCAAAAGCAGCCCTCCATAATGGTATTCAACGAGCAATTTCCATGTAGAGCGAGTGTCGAAGCCAGTGCTCTGATTTCGTGAGGACTAGATGCTCTTGGAGGGTCGAGTCCTGCAGCCTTGTAGGCTCGAAGTATGACAGTTCTGATCCATATCGATATCGTGGTACGTGAGACTTCGGTCTCAGTCGCTGTAGATAGAGGGATGAATAACCGCTTGAGTTTTCTTCGCCTCGTTTTGGATCGTTGTAAATAAATTTTGAGTGCTCTCACTGGGCATAATGATAGATCAAGCGTATCATGAGGTCCGAGTATCGAGGAAAGTGCAGGGACGTGGAATAATCTGTCTGGTTGACCTGGCATTTGATTCTTGGCGATAAAGTCCCATCGCAGTCCCATATGCACTGTGTTTTGATTCTCATCAAAACGTGTTTTCTCGTAGTCTAGAGCGTGGATTTCTGATACTCCGGCTGCTATTGCTAGGGATAGCAGGAACAGTGTTTTCTGCGTCAGAAATTCGAACGATGTTGATTCCAGTGGTTCATAAGCCTCACTTGTGAGGTACTGGAGCACTATATTTAGATCCCATGCTGGAGCGCGAAATCTCTGTTTCTGATCCTCCAATCGGAATGAACGTAGCAAGGCCAGTAACTCTTGCGTCTTCGTTAACTTGACACCCGTTCTCACAGTTATCACTGAACTTAATGCTGCGAGATACGTAGATAGTGTCGAGCCTTTTAGATGTTTGGTTTGTCGTAGGTGACAAAGGTAGACTGCCATTTGAGGGTGGTTAGCATTTCTAGCTGTAAATCCCTTTTTAGCAGCGTATGTCTCAAAACTGTGCCACTTGTCATCATACAAGTTGCGCGTAGAGTTGCGCAAAGCAAGTGTGACTGCTTTTGCCGCTCTGGCTGAATAACCTCTCTTGTTTAAACACACTTTAATACAGTCCATACGTGAAGTTGGAATGCTCCTGGGTTTTCGATGCGCTTGTTTGTGTGAGGATGTACAAGTAGATTCGGCTTTGGTAGTTGTAGTATTGGTTGTCCGATTTCTTGAATTAGAATGGGAAACCACGTTCTCGCTGGCCAGTAGAGCGCGACCAAAATCAGTTGGAGGCTCTGAGTTTGTCTGATTTTCTGTAACACCTTTGGAATTAGCTGGCGCGGAAACGCATCTGGCGTTGAGGCCTTCCAAGGATATGCTTAGAGCGTCCGTTGCCAACGCTTGTGGATCCGGGACTGGTGAGACGAATGTTGTTAGTTGATTGTTGAAGCGAGTAGCGAATAGGTCTATTAATGGAGCTCCTATTTCCATGATAATCTGAGCGAAGATTTCTGGGTGGAGTTTCCATTCCGTCGGTGATGGTAGATATGGCCGAGAGAGTGCGTCTGCTAGTACATTCTTGGCTCTGGGAATGTGGCATGCTCTGACATGTATGTTTAGATCGTCGATCAGATCGAACAGTTGGAAGCTTAGAGTCAATAGGTTCAATGATCTCGTTGAACCTTGTTTGTTTATATAAAACGCCACTGTTGAGTTGTCGGTGTGGATCATTAGGTTCGCATTCTGTAGAATGGTGCTCCAATGAAGTAGGGCGTTCATTACTGCTTTCATTTCGAGCATGTTTATATGCAGTTTGCTCTCTTCTTGGTTCCATAACCCTGATGCCGTCTGGTTGGCGAGATGAGCTCCCCAACCTTGGAGCGACGCGTCTGCATAGAGATGGGTTTTGAACTCCGGCTCTGTTAAATAGATGCCTTCGCAAACATTCGACCTCCTGGTCCACGAAAGTAGATGAGGTCTGAGGTAATTCGGTAGACCGAATGGTTGAAGGTCGTCGAGATGAGTGTTGATGAGGACCTGTAACGTGCGTAACTGTAGTCTGCCTCTGGCTGTCATGTCTTGTGCTGACGTGAGGAGACCCAACAGACTCTGCCACTGTCGTAGTGGTAATGGAGATAGTAAGGCTTGTGGAATGGTCTGTTGGATCTTGAGCCATCGGTCCTCTGGTACGACGATACGATTCTGTGTCGTGAGGAATCGAATGCCTAGAAATTGCAGGTCTTGCGTAGGTTCTAGAGTAGATTCACTAACCATCCTAGCTGTGTTAGTAGCTTGATGGTGAAATTCAGTTGTAGTTTGAGACGCTCTGGATCTTGATCTACTTGAATCCCGTCGTCGAGGTAGAACGCACTGCGTAGCCCTTGACGATGTAGGTAAGTGACGATGGGTTTCGTTACTCTTGTGAACAACCAGGGAGCCGATGATATTCCAAATGGTAGTACCCTCCATTGGTAATGTAGCCCGTCTAGAGTAAACCGTAGGTACTTCCTCGAGTCGGGATGTATCGGGATATGCAGGTAGGCATCCTGTAGATCTATACTGGCCATGTAGTCCATCGAACGAACGAGGTGCCGTAGTTGAGGTAGATGTATCATGCGAAACGTTGGCGGTTTGCGTAGATAATCCCTGTTGAACGTGCTCATGTTGTAGATGAGTCGGAACTTTTCCTTGGAATTTTTCTTGGGTACTAGGAAAACTGGGGAGTAGAAACCTGGCTCGATGTTTACTTGATCCTCGATTTCTATGGCCTGCTTGGTTAGGAGAGATGAAACAGCTTCTCGTAACTTTAGTAGTTGTTGTGCCTGGAAGTCGAACTTGTGAGGGATGACTGTAAGCGGAGGTGTGGCCTGTAGTTGGATTCGATATCCGTGTTGAAGGATGCTGGAGACATATGGATCTTGTAGTATTCCCCAGTTCTCCCAGTGCAGTTGAAGGCGTCCACCCACTTGTGAAGGTTGTACAGGGACGGCTGGGGGTGGAAGACTCCAGTCGTTCCGAACCCGTCTTTCATCGTTTATAGTTGCGGGAGCCTCTGGGTGCCCTGCCTCTTCCAGATCCTCCCCTGTAGTTGCCGAATGGGCGGCGAAAAGAGTCCTTTCCACCTCTGGATCCGGCCATCTTCCTGTCCCGTGCTCTCTGTAAACCAGTGAACTTCGATCTTCCGGAGTATCTCTGTGATGTCTGCTTGATGACACTAGTCAGAGTGTCAATCGATTTAATCATGAGGACTTCTCTTGAATCCTTGATGACTTCTTTAGAGACTTTATCAATTCCTCCAACGAAGATGGAAGGCGTTGACCATGGGGCTGTGAATAGAGGTGCTGTGAACTGTTCACCCCAACTACAGGTGGTGAGGAGACCTTGACGACGAGCCTGAGTAAGAGCTGCTGAGATGGATGAAAGGTGATCCGTCAAGAATTGCTGGTCCTTCTTCTGCATAAGGAGGGCCGAGTATATCATTCTGTCGTCTTCTGATGTATAATCTCGGAATCTAGTGATGAGAGTTTCATTAATAGTTCTGGATCTGTTGAGGCCGAAAAACATTCTTCTGGTCATAGTTTCGACTTGAGCCAGCTTGCGATCCTCGATCTTGTACGTCTTGGCCTTGGCATTGTTGATGACTTTAAAGTTATCATCGATTTCTTGAGCTTTGTAGAATGGGTCCATGTCATCAGCAAAGAACTTCTTGGCGTTGAACTGAGGTAAGAGCGGCGGCGCCTGAGCTTTAGTGGCTGTTTGGAAAGCTGTATCCAAGTTCTGTGGAACCGTTGCTATAGGGTCAATCGGAGGTAGGGTGATCGTGTCTGCGTCGTCCTCCCTCATGAGATAGGTGTGAGCCGGGTTGTTGTCTTTAGACAGCGAAGCTAGGTCCAGGTTGTTGGCCATCCAGTAGCATATCTCTGCGTTGGAGAATATGATGCCTCCATCATCTTCGGTATCCGGAGCGTTGGTAAGAGGCCGATGATACTCTTCCGATGGTGACTGAGGTGGAGTTCTGTATACTTGAACAACTGTGCATGGCGACGTGTGAGGAGACCTGACTGGAGACTTTCGCGGAGGCTTATGAGGCGAGCGACGTGGTGATCTATGAGGTGTCCTGCGTGGTGATCTACGTGGAGACCTATGAGGCGATCGACATGGTGAACGGCCTGACGAGCTGCGTCTGTAAGGTGACCTTTGCGGAGATCTACGTTGTGGTGAAGGACGATAGCTTCGCGAAGCTCTTGGGGAATCACTCGATGACCTTCTAGACGAAGATGACTTGGAGTCTGTAACTGGAGTCCTTCCGAAGACCTTCGCGAAGCTTCATCTGAGTCGGGTCCTGGGGAGTGACGACTTGACCTTCGCGAAGGCTGGTGGTCCGAGGCAGAGTCCGGAGTTGAGAGGATCCTTCTTCGTGAACCCCTTCGCGAACGTTGATCATCAGAGTCCGAGGCTGGTGACGATCTAGGTGTCCTTCGCGAAGGCCTTCGCGAACGCTGATCGTCTGGGTCCTTCGCAGAGGTAGACTGTGACGTCCTTCGCGCAGGCTGGTCCCTCAGTGGTGACTTGGTAGTAGCCGCTACGTTGACGGGTGGTCCCTCAGGGGTGACGTCTGAGGTCCTAGGCTGGTTGTTTCTTCTCCAGTCCGTAGCGGTCTTCCATCAACTTCATAATCTGTTGAACCAGGTCGCCCGGAACGGTCTGCGAAGTTGTAGTAGCTGCCCTATCTGCGTTGGTAGCGACGGGACCCATGAGAAGATCGTCAGTCCTCAGCGTTGATACATCGGGCTGATTGAGGATCTGCGCTGACGTCACTGTAGCTGACACTGGTCGTTTCTTGCGATGAACATCAGGTATGATGAGCGGCTGCTCATTATACAGGCCCTGTTCTGCGGCGGGAACAATCTCGGCTGAGAAAGTTCTTGCTGACTGCGTTGTTTTCCCCTTGGTAGTAGACGCTGCGCTGGGGGTGCGGAGTCTGCGTTGTGACGTAGATGCCCTCTTAGCCTTAGGCTGCGACGACGGGAGGTCTGGTGATGCAGGACGCTTCTTGAAGACGGCGGAATGCGTCCCACGCCTCTCCTCCGAGGGTAACTCCAGCGGAACACCAGACGGGAGGGGGTCGTCCGACAGCAGCTGACTTGCGAGGGGTTCAGTAGCATTAGCCATGCCTAGACTCTGTTTACGTGACCTATCTGCTGCACGTCTCAGGACGCAAAGTAAATATTTGTTAAAAGCAGAATTAGATAAAGTAATACAGAAACTGCAACGTGAACTGAAAGCACATGGTACAGTACAGCTAGGGCATATTAAATGCGGATCAGCAGCAGAAAAACGTAACTTACAAACAGTACAGATTTTCATCAACGTAATCTACTGAACAATCACGGCGTCCCGTGAATAAACAGCAGTAAATACGAGTAAATACGAATTAATATCAAACCATATTGTTGAAGGATACTAGCTAAACCTCTATAAGAGACTTGTAGAGGTAACTAAGTAAGAATAATCAAAGGATATAGTGCCGTAGGGAGACACAGGCGCTCTCACATCCTGTTCACTGGGCGAAGAAGGAGAGAGTGAAGCATGTGGGATGTGGTGGTGCCACCTTTCCCGCCAAAAGGGAGCAAAGAGAGGCAACTCTTGGTGAGTATTGATAAGTGATTTTAAATTGAAGGGAGCTTCAATTAGGGAGATACAAGTGTTCCACTATGTTCGCAAGAAGAAGAAGACAAGCAAAAAGAGCATGAGTCAGGATAAGGAAAAATAATAAAATTCTGATAAACTTCAAAATAGCCAAAGGCGCATCTATGGGTAATGATTAACATGTGTGTGAAGTTTGGTGTTCCTAGCATGTAAGCATTAAGAGATATGCTCTGGAGAGACGGACGGACAAACAGAATGAACGCTATATACCCCCGCTACGAAGTAACGTGGATATAACAAAGTGACAGTCTGATAAAGTTAAGTACACACTTTAGGTTGAAATAGAACTGATTTAGAACACAAATGTGTTCAGGATGACCAGCTAACAACTCATCAACTTCATTTAAGTTCACAAAAAAAGAGGGGACTGTTGAGGAAACAAAAAGTAACAACAAGAAGACAAAGTCATCAATATCCCCCGCAACGGCAAAATACTCTTTATGAATATGTCTACTAGGTATGATTATGTCAAATGTTTTGGAGTGTATACAGCAAAGTGGAAGGAGAGTATTGAAAGGTTTTTAAGATCTACTCTTGAAAGGAGCACTACCACCAAATTCAGTTGAAGCCTAACTTGTTGCCATGGAAATGCAACAAGATGACATCCACAAAGTCACAGCCTAAGTCAAGTTTCCATGGAAACCACAAAAAATAAAATTCATATCTGGCTCTAAACCCCAAAAGGCACATCTAGGGATTATGCTTGACATATGTACCAAGTTTGATGAAGCTAGCATGTATAGTTTGGGAGATCCGCTCCGGACAAGATGACATCCTCATAAGCACAGCATAAGTCATGTTTCCATGAAAACCGCAAAAAATAAAATTCATATCTGGATCTAACCCCAAAAGGCACATCTAGGGATCATGGTTGACATGTGTACCAAGTTTGGTTAAGCTATCCCCAATAGTTTAGGAGATATGCTTCGGACAAAGTGTGACAGATGCACGGACGGACGGACGGAACTTATTTCTATATCCCTTGCAACTTCGTTGTTGTGGGGGATAAAAAGGTGTGGTCAGTTTCACTAACTACTTGCTGATCCTTACTCTCAGTATGAAGTTCTTACTGAGTTAGTAATTAAGAAACTCACTTGTGTCTCAAAATCAAAAACACCTAATTTTGTCAGACAAGGGTAAATGTCTCTGATCATGTGGGTGTAAGCCAAATGTAAGTATAAACATGGCAAGAGCCAATCAAATTGTCAAGTACTGCAACAAACTTTTCAACAATGTTATTTCATCCTTTGTACTGGAATATTGAGAATGTAATGAAACTCTCTCGCATGGAGATGGAGATTACTATTCAAGTTATTTATGTCACTGATTGCATGTTGTGAATCATTACTGAACAATACACCAAGCCCCATAATGAAGTCACTGCACTGGTCACTGCACTAGTTGTGACTACGTAGTATGTACTCACCACTCCTGAAGAGACTACCCAGAATGCCATAAGACATGTCTAGCTTGTGAACCACATCCTGCAACATCACAAGGGTAACAGTCAGGTATATGCCAAAATATACATGCACTACAGACTTCATACATCATGGTATGGTTGACTACAATACTTTTACACTTTTACAAAATATTGTTCAACTCGTCAAAAATGAAGCATCTCTGACACCAGACAGGTGTGTCAAGACTCACCCGGAGAGAATGCTGGATACCACTGATGTCCGGTTTATCGTTTGTACTGCTGTCCAGGTTTCTGAAGAAGGGTCAATGAGGAAAAAATAATTAAGTAATAAATATTAAGAAGAAGCAAGTGACGAAACTGTAAAACTGGCAGTTCAGTGTGTGTATGCGTATTTTTTTTGTGTCTGTTAGTGTCTGCCTACCTGTACATCTGCCCACCTGTGTGTCTTCCTACCTGTATGTCTGCCCACCTGTGTGTCTGCCTACCTGTATGTCTGCCCACCTGTGTGTCTTCCTACCTGTATGTCTGCCCACCTGTGTGTCTGCCTACCTGTATATCTGCCCACCTGTGTGTCTGCCTACCTGTATATCTGCCCACTTGTGTGTCTGCCTACCTGTATATCTGCCTACCTGTACATCTGCCTACCTGTATCTTGCTGTATGTCTGCCCACTTGTCTAACTATCTGTATGTTTGCCAAGCTGAAGTGTGCCCACTTATATTTCTGCTCACCAGTTGTCCCCCCCACCTGTATGTCTGCCTACCTGTACAAATCGGCCAACACAGCTTCCAGGTGTTCCAGCTGTTTGTAGAGTTCCTGCTTGTCTGTCCACACCCTCAACTCCTGTCCAAGCTCAGGAACAACAAGGAATGTCCGCCATCCACGCTTCTTCTTTGATTTGAGGATGTCACCATATATGTGATCACCAACATACAGAACATCACGTCCCTTGGCTCCAAGAAGCTGGGATAACACATCACAGGACCCTACAGGAAACATGTAGCAATCATAAAAAAAAAAAACATGATAGTACAGGGACTTATGAAAGTTGGAAAAATGGAATTCGTAACTTAGACAAGGACATTAAAGAGTCAACACAATTGCACTTTGATCTTAAGTGTCTCCAAAAACACCCTAACACAATAAGCCAATTCCCAAATATTAACAAACATTCTTGTGTCCATCTGATACAGATCAGTAATAATTATCAGGACAAAAGAACTTTTAACCACCATTTAAAGTACCCTTTTCTCACATGTCAGAATCATTATTATTATTGTAATCATAGTGATGGTTTCATTATTAAAACCCTGCATAAAGGGAATCATATGTCAAGTTGACCAGATATTTATCAAAACTACTTGGGGTGAGTGAGTTAAGTTTTATACTGCACTCAGCAACATTCCAGCTATATGGCGGCAGTCTGTTAATAATTGAGTCTTGACCAAACAATCCAGTGATCAACAGCATGAGCATCAATCTACACAACTGGGATATGATGACCAAGTGTCAACCAAGTCAGTGAGCCCGACCATCCGATCCTGTTAGTCGCCTCTTACGATAAGCAGGTAACTGAAGCTCATTTCTAACCTGGATCTTCACACCTCAAACTACTTGGGACTAAACCCTACCTAAGGAAGTACATACATAGGGCATAGTGCCTGTCACAGTATCATCAATATCCTACCTCCTGAGTATATGTGCCCGGGCTGTAAGGCCCCAACATGGTCGCCAAGCTTCAGGGACCCTGTCCTCTGCAAGCGAATTATTCTCCTTAACTCAAGTCATAGAATTATGGTAAACATGAAACAACGAAGCCAGTGAATACTGTTGACTGCTATGCTTTGAATACTTAACTCAATCCCAATAATATATTAAAAGAAACACCGCTGAGTTGATGACATTATTTTACCTTCACATGCATTAACAAAATGTCTTCACTAGTGTAAGCATCCCATTTAGGAGACACAAAGTCAGATTAACTAAGATACTGATTGGGTGAGTGAGTTCAGTTTTACACCACTTTTAGCAATATTCTAGTAATATCAAAGGGGGGGGACACCAGTCATGAGCTTCACACATTGTACCCATGTGTGGAATCAAACCCAGGTCTTCTGCATGACGAGTGAACGCTTTATCCACAAGGCTACCCCACTGCTCAGATACTGATTGGACAGAGCGTCTCATTATGAAACTGTGGCAATAAGCTAATAAAACAATATTTGGAAATTGCTAGGTATTAAACCTGGTAGATGAACATGGATACATCATTTGAGCTGGTGAAAACAGTGACATGTAACATTGACATACTCTATCCACTTGTCGGAGAGTTGTCCCATCTCCAAAGAACAGCGGCTTCTTGGCATCCACCACAACACAGTCAAAGAAGGTGGACCACTCCTGTACGGTACCATCCTACACAAACAGACAAGATCTGTTCAGACAAAACATTTTTGGGTGGCATTTTTACACCTATTAAGGATAAGATGCAGATATACTGAGGGAAACAAATAAGGGGACACATGAGAGATCAAGTGCTCCTATATTTTTCCAGGCTTCTTCGTAAACTTTGTATTGCACTGTGGGTGAAAGAAAATCTAAGAATAAACATAGGAACACTTTGATGAGGCAATGTTCCCTGGATTCTTTCCCTCAGTATATATGTGCTAAATAAATAAGTCAGCACCTGCATCATTAAAAGAAGTACCTTATCCTTAAACATGCCAAAGGTTATAATATGCTCAACCAAAATGCATTTAACAGATTCTGCTTCGATGAAAATAACAGCAATATCTCACATATTTTCAGAAGATATTATTTTAAAATACATTTTCATATCATTTTACATGTTGTAATTACCATGCTTACATATACTCGTTTCATGTAGCTGACCTAATTTTGCATACAATGTATCACACTTCTCCAAACATTCATTACACGCCAACAAGTTTGTACTGGCACCAACATATATCTTCATGTCAGGTATTTGCTAATGCTGGGAAAGGTAATGTACAATATAACCAATGACATCCCATCATAAAGTATAGAGGTAATTGGGTATGAGCTGCTGAGCTTTTAACCCCCAAGGAAGAATACAGGCCTTCCTACAGGTTATACTACACTAAATGAGAATCGCTTGCTCACTGAGCGAGAAGCGTATGTAAACAAATGAAGAGATAGAGACATGTGACAGCTGTGATTGGATGAAATAGTGTAAGATGTTTATGTTTTTTAAAAGCATATCCAACCAGCAATTAAAACTGACCACAATTTTAAGTATTCAGTGCTGTGATTTTCATCACCATGACTTATGCTTATTGTGTGTACAGATATTTTCCAGTAGGTGACATTTGGTGCGGATCTGGGGTTGATGTGTTCCGCTTCCTGTGCACGCAAAACAAGCCGGACAAGTTGGCCAGATAGTGTTCTTTTATGGTAGTTTAAAGGCCAGAGTGTACCCATGTGCACATGGAATGGCTGTTGATAGCCTGGATTATTTTTAAAAAAATATAAGGCTACTATAGAAGTCTATGGGAAAACATTTGGTGGTGTGTAACCTGTAGGGTTCGAGCACTTTTCAATAATTCATACTTTACATGATTTCCTGTGTTTATTTCACCATGGAAACATGTTAGCATTAATGTAGAGGCAAATTTAAAGGTACTGGGAGTAAAGATAGGGCTGTTTTGAGTGCAATAGATTGTTTTAGTGTCCAGAATATGAACGTTGCTTCGTTTTGTTGTCGAACAGTGGGAAGAGACCCTCACGGTGAGTCTTACCGTCAAGTAGTAGTTCCCTGGCTTCTAAATTTGTTGGAACTGATGAATTTGACAACAAATTAGGTTAAAATCACCACTGCCACAACAATGTGAGTGTCTAAGTTAATCTCCTGAGGGTCAATTTGAAGTCAAATGATAAGAATATCATGAAATATATTCACTGCTGACAGCAGAACATGTCACAAACCCTTGTTTTAAATGCAAACAGTGTAGCATATGATCAATTCTTTCTGCCTGTCCCCTTTTGAATATGCAACGACCTAATATTCTTTTCCTTTTTTAAAAATATACCCCTTTTTTCACCCATAGGACTGTCAAAATGAATTTCTGTTTTATTAACAACTGTCTCATTGCTGTTATAGATTTTATGATTTGACATTTAATGTAATCTCAACACTATTTTCAGCTTGTAGAATGCCTGTTGGTGAATGGGGAGGTGTATCTTCACAAATACAGCAGAAAAAGAAGCCTTCACATCCAATGTGGTATTTCGACAAACCGGCCGAAGTCTGTTGTTGGCAGTGTCTAATCAAGCATACTCCCTTTGCTTCGATATGCTTCACCGCCTTGTAGAAGTTGCAGTACTTGGACATGTAGGTACATACAGTACATTTAAGTGTCCCAGTCCAGTTAAGGCACCACAATGTCTCACTACCAAATTCCATCACTCGGTCATCCTCATACATTAGAAATTTCTGACAGTGTCCCCTTAATGCCTCAGTGTGTAGTATTTCAGCTTCCCAGACATGAAATAAGGGCTGTACATCAATCCCAGAAGCTGCTTAGATGTAAATAATAACAACTGACCCTTGTGGAATGTAATATTATGGGTCTGAATTCACATTTTATTGACATGAGAGTGTTGATATCTTAAAATTATCTCCCTGTTTACCCAAATACATTGTGTCTTTCTCTAACCCAGTAACCCATAAATTACTGCAGAGAAGCTCTGTTTTTAGCTGATATTGCCAAATACTGTTAATTTTAATTAAAAATATTCAGTTTAGGGCAGGGTAACCAATAAATTTCCAAAGTTATGTGGATTTTTTCACTTTGTTCCCTCTAAACTGGCTTATACATGAAATTGGCAAGTGTAACAGCCTCAAAACAATACACAGTCAATAGTTTTGAATTTCTGGAAGTATTTCAAAGTCTTAGCTTGATGAATCAATAGATTCAAGTGTAAGTTCTTATCATGCTGTGGTCTAAAAGTGATTTCATCTGTTGAAGGGGTCATTTGCCTTGATCGACTAACAAGTGACAGGGTACTGTGGTCAGTGTTTCAGACTGCTAGGCATAATCCAACCCCTCACTTATTACATTCTGGCAAAGTTCATCATCCAGCCTTACATATGTCAGGATGTTAAAGCTGCTTAATGTTAAACCTGTCCAATTTCTGGCCTGAATTCCATGATTTTTGTCGTTCAAAATATAGTTTGGATTGATATGATCAAGGCAGTCCCAGTCATGCATGGAATTAACCCATGGCCCCCTTTTTTGTGAAATAAGAGTAAACTCCCATGGTATATGTATGATTTAAAAACTTTCTCTATTAATGCAGAAGTGCATTTTGTATAGCTTTGGTGAAATAGACATGATATAACTCTTACAGCTCTGTCAGTGCAGCAAATCACTATATTCTTGTGCCATATAGATATGTTGGACAGGAAAAAGTATTGAAGCTTCATGCAGTTTTATATTTTTTCTGAGAAGTTACATGTATATACAGTACATAAGTCACAGATTTGCCTAGGGCAAATGTTTCTAAATTTCCTACAGGTTATACTACACTAAATGAGAATCGCTTGCTCACTGAGCGAGAAGCGTATGTAAACAAATGAAGAGATAGAGACATGTGACAGCTGTGATTGGATGAAATAGTGTAAGATGTTTATGTTTTTTAAAAGCATATCCAACCAGCAATTAAAACTGACCACAATTTTAAGTATTCAGTGCTGTGATTTTCATCACCATGACTTATGCTTATTGTGTGTACAGATATTTTCCAGTAGGTGACATTTGGTGCGGATCTGGGGTTGATGTGTTCCGCTTCCTGTGCACGCAAAACAAGCCGGACAAGTTGGCCAGATAGTGTTTTTATGGTAGTTTAAAGGCCAGAGTGTACCCATGTGCACATGGAATGGCTGTTGATAGCCTGGATTATTTTTAAAAAAATATAAGGCTACTATAGAAGTCTATGGGAAAACATTTGGTGGTGTGTAACCTCAGCAGGGAACTATTTCCCCAAAGTCGCATTATTATTAGCCCAACAAGGGAGCTAACTCTGCTTGTCTAATCATTGTATGGTAGTGACAATCAAAACTAACAGATTGTCTCATATACTCAGCTTTTCATGACCCATTTTGCAAAACTCAACGACTAATCAACAACTTACCTCAGATGGGTAGTCCAGCAGGTAGGTCATAATTTTCTGGAGATATAATAGCAAAGCTTAGCTTCTAATGTTCAATAGTAATCAAGCAATATTGGAAACAGTGATCTAATGAGTAAGTGAGTCAGTTTATTACTACACCGCTTTTAGCAATATTCCAGCAATATCACGGCAGGGGATACCAGAAATGGGCTTCACACATTGAACCAATGTGAGGAATCGAACCTGGGTCTTTGGTGTGAACAGCGAACGCTTTAACCACTAGGCTACCCCACCATCCCTGACCTGATGAGTGAGTGACATTGGTTGAACTTTGAACAGTATGTTAATGATATCTCAGTGTGTCAGCTTGATGCAGGAGGTAAGCCAAATGATGCAAGCTAAGGACAAGGATGGCCAAAAGAATGGAACAACTCACAGCTACCAAGACGAGGACTTGGTAGCTGCGGGTACTCAGGCTGTACCAAGATTTGAAACCTTGATTACTGGTCAGGTGAGGTGAAATGAGGTTTAACGGCGTACTTAAGAATATTTCGACGACGTGCATGCATGTGTATGTGTGACTGCTTGTACCAGCCCAGACTTAAGCTGGTTTTATAGTGCTACCTCACCGAGATACCATGCCGCAGTTAAGCATGAATACCCCACTCAGACACATTATACTGACTCTGAAAAAAAACAGTCCTTGTTTTACCCATTAATGCCGAGCGCAAGGCAGGGAACCAGAAGTACCATATTTTAACGTCTTTTGGTATGATGCAGTCGGGATTGAACCTGCGACCTTCTGCTCTCCAGGCAGTGGCTCTAACCACTACACCACGAAGGCGGTTCTTGATCACTGGTAAACCAGTGAACCATTAAACCTAGGCAATGCAACTCTGCACAGCAAATTCTACTATGACCAAGCATCTTGTAATTATGTTGGAATATATGTGAAATACCCATATCCCATGTATACCAGTAACTAAGCATAGCCAGTTAGTAGTTCATCTTAGGTTGATGTAACTTAGATCAAGTCATACTTATAATATTTGAAAAATGAGTTGACTTACATGAGTGTAAACATATTCGCTGTTCGTTATCAGCACCGTCTTGGCGCCATGCTTCCTCAATCTGTCAAAGGAGAAATACATGTTACTAGATATATCATGAAAGATGCAATCAAAACATATACAGAAAGGCTTCCTTTCAGAAACATGACATGCACTCAAACAATCTTATACCTCAGGTGACTAGTGAGTAAGCGAGTTTAGTTTTATACCCCTTTTAGCAATATTCCAGCAATGCCACGACAGCGGACACATGAATTCGACTTGGACTTCACACATTGTACCCATGTGGGAAATAGAACACAGGTTTCAGAGTGACCAGCGAATTGTTTAACCACTAGGCTCCCTCACCGCCAATATGGTGACAAACATTTAGATATTCTCTGTTGATCTGTTTCCCTTTCTAACAATGCCATGTAGAATGTGGGATACAAGGTAAACCAAATAACGAATGCCCTTACAAAATATCAATGTAAGATCAGGCTGCTGATCGACATAGTCATCTTTGCTTGGAATAACCTAAAATTGTCACAGTCATCTAATGGTGGTAGTAATTTTTCTACAACTAGTACTAAGATTCACCAACTAAAATGCACCATGTAACATGGCCTTTGATATGAATTAATGATGACAATGGCATGATACACACAAAGCTGTATCAAGATCCAAGACGATACAAAGGCATACTTTTTTGGAGTCAGGAGAGGATTTTATGCATCATTATGATTTTTACTTTAAACTTACAAGTCAAAGTTTTTAGTTAATTGCCTTTGTGTTATTGTTCCGACATCACAAGATATGTATAACTATAACATGGCTGCCCACATCAAGACTTGTACCCTTCCCTGTGACCTTTCATTGCATGTTTATCTCTGTACCTCTGTAGCAGCAGCGGAAGTCTCTCATCTCGGTGCACATACTTGTCCATCTCTTTCACTGTCTCATCCTTCAAGGAGCCCTACATGTGACACAACATGGCATATTCAGTTTGGTTCCAACATAAATCATGCCAGGTCAAAACAGTCAAGTGCACAAGACATTCATCAAAGAGCAACAGAAAACAACACAATCACCTCATATATTACAATGTCTTGAATAATGGTTCATAATGCAGAAAAAAAAGTATCCAAAAAATATAAAAATATGTAGGAACCATGAATTTCATAAAAAATCCAAAAGATATTCATGATCCAATACTTTAATTGTCCAGTATATCTTAGATTTTGCAACTTTAATTGTTGTGAGTTGGGACCTAAAACTGCACAGAACTTGTCCCAGCACTGCACACAACTTGTTACATGAATAGGTCGAGGAAGCAGCCAAGTAATGTTGGAACAATGTAGAATTTAACCAGGTTATATAAGACTTTCTATAGCATAGATCTGAAGACTGAAACTCACATTGTAATGAAGCCAGTCAACAGCTGAGCGGACATCTTGGAATATTGACTTGAATGACATGTACAATTCTCCACTCCTTACACCTTCCTTCTCTCTGAAACACAACCTCCAGATCATAAGCCATTCTGCCACCTGTTGTGGGTGGGTAAGTTGGGTTTAAGACCCTGAACAGTATTTTGGTTTAGTCAGAATTCCATGTATTAATTTAATGTAGGAAGAAAATACATAAGTGATGCAGCTTGAAGATTTCGACCACTTTGGAGAAAACAACAAGCATAGATATCATGCTGAGAAACCAAACCAGTACCTGTAGTAATCGGGTCTGATTAATGATGGTGGCTTATAGGGGCTTATCTTCTAAGACGTCATGCCACAGTTTTACAAGGATATCCCACTAAGCCACATTATACTGACTCAGAGATAGCCTGTCCTTGTTTCATTTCATTAATGCCGAGCACTAGGCAGGGAGACATCAAGTACCATTTTTTAATGTCTTTTGTTACGGCCAGGACTGGGGATTGAATGAACTCTTTCTGCTGTCCATATGGGCTCATAATCCAAGCAAAGTCATGATTCAAGCCCATAATCACCAAGGTCTCGATCCAGGAAGCGTTCGGAACGTTAAGAGCTGTCGTAACTCTATAGTTTATCATAGGCTTACGAATGTCGTAGCTCTACAAACGTTTCGTGGATCAGGACCCAGATTCTGGAATGACTGAAAGAAACAACTCCACAGAGCACACTGTGACTAATAAACTCATGTTGGCACCTTCACAAATGACACATAATAAAAAAGGGTTAACACTACTTACTTTGTGTAGTGCTTACATGATGAGAAGTAACGTATTATGCAGGCTAACATGTAGGTTTCTGGAACAAACAAACACCAGGTCAATGATGACACACATGGGCCTGCATGCAAGGAGCTCTCTTCACACCATGGCTAATCTAATTCCTATAATGAGGTACACATTAAAACAGCTGTAGCACTAGTTCTACTATGTGCAGTAGCCTCATGATTAATCTGTTTCACAGTACTTATGCTGAGTAGTGAGAGCACCTTTAAACAATCAGTCAATTATGCACAGCATCTGTTTAACATATAGCCGGTATACATCGGGACAAATTGTTTGACAAGTCAGCTGTAAGCTGATCACTCGGAATGCTGATGTGTAATGTCATTATACTCATGATGCAGGTTTGTTTTGCTGTTTTTCTCTTCTGGGGCATGTTGAGTGATGTGCCCAAATATTAAGACAATCGCTTACTGTCACTCAAACATTTTGTCTGCGTAGATAACACAAGACTCTTTTAAATAAACTAGGTTTTCAAATCCAGTCTTCAAAAAATTTAAACTTGTCAAATAAACTTGTATTTATTCATTTTTTAAATTCTGCTGAACAGAAATAAGTCAACTGCTTTAAAAAAAGTGGTAAAAAGTTATCTTAAAACTCCTTCCCTACATATTTGGCCAACCTATTTTGAGGAAATTAATATGAAATATGAAATGTTTCCATAACTTAGTGCTTTGTCTTCTCTTATGGTCCTCCTAACCCAAACACTGATGGATTCACTGTCATACTGTGCATGTATCCAGGTGACCGATATCGCTGGGTCACTCTGGGTCACTCGACTGAAAGTAGGTCATGTATTATGCCACAGGCAAGTCTGTTGAATTCAGGCCAAACATGTCTGTCAAGTGGACAAACCATAGCTGTAGATATTCTTGGCCACCATATCACTAATGGGTTAGGTCAGTGACCTTCTTGTACCGTGATCCACTGACCCGCTTCACCATTTATCCACTATGTTAAATTATATGAAAGATAATACTGCCGGACCCCTTTCGGACCACAGGGTCTGGATCTATTTTGAGGGTATTCGGGACTCAGCAATACGGTACTTGGGATGCAAAAGTAATCGTCCTTGGTACATTGAATGTTTATGCAAATTAATTCTGTATGTATCATAGTGTTTTGGGTTTTTATATTTCTTACTTAATTTAACTTTGAAGTTTACCCTAGTCTGAATGCTCTTAACATTGTTGAAGTTTGTTGTCAGTAGTTTCCGAGACAATGAGACAAGTACCGGTATATAATTAGAGGGATTTTTTTAGGGGTTGGGGATGGTTGAGAGCACTTGTCACCCTTAAAAATACTTTCATATGATAATATCTTTAAGAACATATAGTCGAATAATGGTACACACTAAATTCATCTGAATTACAGTGTTACAACAACTACACTCGCCTAACGTCCATTTCAATATTTACCTGGGACATTAAACAGTGTATTGAGCACAAACAGTCTCCTCTCATCCAGAGCCAAGAACTTATTTGGATAAAGCTCTGCCACCTCATTGCTGGAAACACAATCAGGTCAAATGGTGAATGTGTTATGTAACTATAGATAAGACACTGTATATCATCAACATAAATATGATAATGATATCAAATCCATGATTACATCTGAATAAATTATATATCACATAGCCACTGTATGATAGTGTTGGGAATTGTTTAAAATCTCAGAATTGATGTTTGGTTCATTACAACCTATTTATCATGAAAATAATTGGTTAGCGTCATTTATTAAATTCTCCTCGTTATGTTTGTTAATGCACACACAAAAATAGAAAGAAAACATGTAGTCCTTTGGGGGTCTTTTTTCAAATTGCACAAAATGCATTTACAAATTTCACATCTTTAAAGGAATATGAATTTCCTCTGGAGTCTTTAAGATAAATTGAGTCATGACAAGGAACGAGCTTGTAGTGCTTATGAAATGTAACAGACAAAACCAACCTTGTGAAATATATTGTTATTGGAAACAAGTGTTCCAATATTGTTTGTGTTCGATTATGAGAAAACATGATCGATTGCTTGGTCGTTTAGTCTTTGCGACCAATCTTCGATTATTTCAACTAATCGGACCACCACTACTGTATGAGAGTCAAATTTCACTAAATCTCTCATGCAGTCCTTGGAAGGCTGAGTATTACTACGTGAATGAGTTTTAGGATGCAACTATTACACAAATGAGTTTTTATGACGCTGAGCTTTACGAAGCAACGGAGTTTATGACTGACATGCACATTTATTAAAAAACTGACATCTCTGTTTCTGGGAATTGCAAAACATAGCATTCTGCACACTGTGTACATTAAAATCTGTTACACAGGTCTACGCAGTATGCATGATGACCATCAAAAGCATGATAAGCACAAAATATCTTGAATTCACTTCTGAAACAATGATCCTGTATTGTGGTGGTACCAACAAGTGTTGCATAAATCATGTATACTTCTGTTGTTTCCAGATGTTTGGACACAGGAATGCATAACAGGTGAAATCTAAGAACCTATCACATTGTTTGTATTAACAAACCTATATACTTACGGCTTAAGGAAATCGAAACCATGCACACAGACAAGAATATTTCCATAGGCATCCACTTTGAGCAGGTTACCATACCACTTGTCAAACCACAGACCTCTGTAATAAATACGACGATGGGTCAGGAACAGGACACTGAAGTACCGGACACTGCTGTCTATTATGTGTAGTTACAGAAGAATGAGATCATATAACTGCATTCAGAACTTTCATAGGTGTCACTCCATGAGATGATCTTAAAGTGTTCTTTTTACGGAACACAACTGCACTAGGGCAGACAAGATCTACATGTCTCAATATGTACCGGACAATCTACTGTTGTCAACACACACATGCCTCGCTTAAACTACCAGTGAATGAAACTAACTATTCCTCTATATGCTCGTTCAATAAAATTCCCATTTTCACTGATTATCGATAAATGAAAATACATCATGCATGAGCAGATTTAAGAACTGAAATCACTTTTTTTTTAAATACTTTGAATTAGTGTATCCAAAGTTGCCCAAAAATTAGAATTCATTTACACTAAGATTAGAATGATTAATTTACATAAAATGTCAAACTACATTTAATGATGATGATCTTTGCTTGTCAATTACAGCAAGCTATTGTCCCTACGAGAGAGTGTAGCACACAGCAAACTCTACAATAATATAAAGAAAACCTCAAGTGAGAGTGCAGACCACGCTAACATACACGCCGGCCGGTGTCTAGCTGGGCCGGCTACTGGCTGAACCGGCTATAGGGCTGGGCAGTCCGTGCCAGCCCAATGTCATCGCCTGTGCCACGGTGAGCCTCTTACCCCCTAGCAGACAAACAAGTCATACAGGGCACATTATCAGTGTTAGTAGCTGCAGCCAGAGGTTAGACTCTCTCCATCAGTAAAACCTTCAAGTCAGACAAACCTAGGTAATCCAACTCATCTGACTTCAAGGTTTTTGGCCTTGATGGAATTGCTTGCTTAAAAAAATACAATGTCATCAATATTGAAACAATGTTTATCATGGAAGATGAGACTATGAAAGGCAATTTACCAAGTCTGCATCATTGAATCAGCATCTGAAGTTACATGATATGAAGAAATAGCAGAGATACACTGTAAATATTGTTCACCATAGAATTGTGTGCCAAAATGTTTTCTGTAAACATAATAATTCTTTTAAAAAACATTGAAATGTTACAAGTGGACCCAAACAGATATAAAAAGTTTTCTCTGTCAACATGATTCATTCTTTCAAAAAACATTGAAATGTTTGGTTGTAAGTGGACCCAGAAAAACTTCATGAGAAGAAATATTAGAAAGTGTTTGGGTTTTTAGGTCTTTTTTGTTTTGTTTTTTTCATTCCAGAAGCTGTTGAGTTAAAATGGAAACATAACACTTTACAGACAACATGTAGTTTACAGCATACAATGACATTTCATTGTACATTCTAACATCCAGCATGATACAATATTAAGAATATACAACAGAAAGTCGCTTTAGGCAATAAACCACTGGCTCTTATCCATAGAGATGTATGTTTTGCTAAAAAATGCCAAGACATAAAATTCTTACGAACTTGTGCTCAACTGGTTTACAATTCTTCACCATTGTGAAATTTTATAATTTGACTCATTCTTCGGTTTGTCTTTTTTTGTTCACAGAGGCTATCTTGTCATTTTTCAATTGGTACAAATATCATAAATGTTATCACATCAGGTAGTACACAATCACAATACAGTTAAGCCCAAAACAATACTTCTTTACCATTAAGGCATGAAGGCATTTTTCTGTTCTTTGTCACAGGGACCATCTTGTCCATTAAAAGTTCTAAATATCAACAAGAGTCATCAGAAGATGACATATCCCCCCGGCCCCCACATCTTTGAAAGAACAAATCATCTGACAGTTACTTAAAGTCCAGCTTGATTTTAGACTAAGTGCAAATCGTTTCCATGGAAATCATGAAAAAAATAAATGACAAAAATCTGCAAATAGCAAAAGGCACCACTTTGGGATCTGCCTCACATATCTGCCAAGTTTTGCTGAAAGATATTAAGAAGTTTTCGCGTTGTGCTCCAGAAACAAAACCCATCCCTTCCTTTTTGAGACTAAGTTTGAATCATTTCCATGGAAACCGAGAAAATAATAAATCACAAATATCTGCAAATAGCAAAAGGCACCACTTCAAGATCTGCCTCACATATCTGCCAAGTTTTGCTGAAAGATATAGAGAGGTTTTTGAGTTGTGCTCCGGAAACGAAGCCCACCCTCACTTTTGGGATTAAGTCCGAATCGTTTCCATGGAAACGGGAAAAATAAAATGCCAAAATCTGCAAATAGCAAAAGGCACAACTTTAGGATCTGTTTGATATATCTACCAAGTTTTGCTGAAAAATATTATACGGTTTTTGAGTTGTGCTCCGGAAACGAAAGCAATCCTTACTTTTTGAGACTAAGTCCAAAATGTTTCCATGGAAACCAAGAAAAATAAAAATGCCAAAAATCTGCAAATAGCAAAAGGCACCACTTAAGGTTCTGTTTCATTCATCTACCAAGTTTTGTTGAAAAATATTGAATGGTTCTTGAGTTATGCTCGGAAGCGAAGCCCACCCCTCACTTTTGGGACTAAGTCCGAATCGTTTCCATGGAAACCGGGAAAAATAAAAATGCCAAAATCTGCAAATAGCAAAGGCACCAAGTCTTGTTAAGGTTCTGTTTGATATATCTACCAAGTCTTGTTGAAAAATACTGAACGGTTCTTGAGTTATGCTCGGAGTTATGCTCGGAAGCGAAGCCCACCCTCACTTTTGGGACTAAGTCCCGAATCGTTTCCATGGAAACTGGGAAAAATAAAATGCCAAAATCTGCAAATAGCAAAAGGCACAACTTTAGGATCTGTTTGATATATCTACCAAGTTTTGTTGAAAAATATTGAATGGTTCTTGAGTTATGCTCCGGAAACGAAAGCAATCCTTACTTTTTGAGACTAAGTTCAAAATGTTTTTATGGAAACTGGGAAAAATAAAAATGCCAAAAATCTGCAAATAGCAAAAGGCACCACTTAAGGTTCTGTTTCATAGATCTACCAAGTTTTGTTGAAAAATATTGAACGGTTCTTGAGTTATGCTCCGGAAACGAAGCCCACCTCTCACTTTTGGGACTAAGTCCGAATCGTTTCCATGGAAACCGGGAAAAATAAAAATGCCAAAAATCTGTGAATAGCAAAAGGCACCACTCTAGGATCTGTTTGATATATCTACCAAGTTTTGTTGAAAAATACTGAACGGTTCTTGAGTCATGCTCCGGAAACGAAGCCCACCCTTCTTTAAGACTAAGTCCAAAATGTTTCCATGGAAACCGAGAAAAATAAAAATGACAATAATCTGTAAATAGCAAAAGGCACCACCTTAGGTTATGTTTGACATATTTACCAATTTTGGTTGAAAAATATCGAACGGTCTTTGAGTTATGCCCCGGAAACAAAATGATTACGGACGGACGGACGGACGGACAGACGGACGAGGCGACGACTATATCCCACCGCATTACATGCCGGTGGGATAAAAAGGTTTTCACAATGGGTAACACATGAAAATAAGCAGCTTAACTTGTCATGGACCAGTTAAGCCAAAAAGAATGCAATGCTGTTAGCTTGAATGGCATGAGGAGAATTAAAACCTGTATATCAAAAAGTTCAAAGATTCATAATAACTTCCAAATTGCTGCCAGTACAATATGTAATGTTGAAAACTAACGTCTTCTACATGGATGATGTATTTTCTCAGGTTCTCAGCCATTAAGCTATTGATGCTACTTGATCTTGGGCAAAAAATTCACTGGCTTTTCTGAACGTGCATATTGTGCAAATAGAACTGACACAACTACAGATCATTATGCAAAATTATTGAGGAATTCTACAACTAACATAGCATTTAATCCAAGAAATCAGTCAAATTTGCTGAACCCAGCAGCAGAACCAGCAGATTCTCATGATATTTCAGATATCTATCAGACACTTTATCGGTTATTCTAAGATACTTCAGTGAAAGATCAAAGGCACCAACAGTACTTTATCAGACGAAAATGTGCACTTTGTGTACTACGTCACAATGTATTGGTGTCACTGCACCATTCTAGTCTGCCCCCTCGTAGTCGAACACTTTTGCATTACATCACAATGTCATGATGCATGCCAGTTGTCATCGCCTCGTACATCCTCCTACAGTAAACTACTCCGTTGCATCCCGTTTCTTGGTTTCCAGTTGCTTCACGCAGATAACATCACTGGTGAATTCCTTATGTTTATGTTTTCCAACGGTTAAAATGCCTCAATTCGACTAACAAGTTTACAGCGATACGATAATGTTCGCAATGTTTACATTCCCACAATGCAATAGTAGAATGTCGCTTGACCACTCAGCTTCATCTGGATGTACTGATCTAAACTTACGTTGGTAGTAGAAATGTGACGTTCACATTGCCCCATATGGTTTACATTAATCACAGAAGTAAATTAGAATAATTTAGAGAAGATATTTAATCCGAATGTAAACCGTCATCAAACTGTTTATCATTTGTTTTTTCTGGTAACATTCATCTTAACGTAAACGGCAGACACATCAATAGAACAGTGCGCCAGTTAGCCCTGTGCAAGGATTCTTAATTTAGGTCACTGACACAGTCCTTTTTTTTTTTGCCTCACATTAATCATAATTATCCTTAGAGAGTATTAAATTTGACATCTTAGAAAAGAAATACAGTTCCAACTACCACCATCTATAGTGTAACAAAGCACACTTTCGCCCTGAACTATAATAACATTAAATCACTTGGACGCAAGCGTCCTCATGCTTTAACTGTAATAGTTCAGGGTGAAAGTGTGCTTTATTAAACTATACATGGTGGTAGAGCGAACTTTATTTCTTAAATACATGGTGGTAGAGCGAACTGTATTTCTTAATAATAGTGTCCCTTGAAACATGTTACTAGTAAATGAACTGACTACACAATAAAACGTTATTACAAACTGATAACTGGATAAGCACAAGTTCTCGTGATAACATAGATATGAGCTAACGTAATGATCAATGATAATGGGGAGGATGATAAAATAGCAAAACATCATGTTCCACTCAAATGGCGAAAAACTGTGATAAAATTACATTCCTAATGAAAACATTCACGAAAATTTTCTTAACAGATGAATTCAAGCATACATTTTATCTTCCAACTCACCTGACAGGAAACGAGGGGTCATACTCAAACACGCCAATTTCCTTAGGATAGCCAATGGTCAACAGTCTCTGCTTCAAGAGGTTAAAGCTCATCGTTTCATACTGAGGTGACTTGTACACTGAAACAGATCATCACAATAACGTGCATAATTAATTCCTTAACCTCCAATATTTATGCTTTATTGCTCACGAAATGATAATGTCATTAGATATTTTAAGCAAGTGAGTCAGGGCTTACAGTGCTTTCAGCAATACTCCAGCAATATCACAGCTGGGGAAACCAGAAAAAAGCTTCACACATTGTACCCATGAGGGGAATCAAACTTGGGCATTTTGCATGCTAGGCAATGCTTTAAACAACACTAGGCTCCGGTCCGCCCTGATATTTTGAGTGGGTGAGTTCGGTTTTACGCCTCTTGTAGCAATATTCCAGCAATATCATGGAGGCAGATACCAGAAATGGGGCTTCACACATTGTACCCATGTGGGGAATCGAACCCAGGGCTTCGGTGTGACGACAACCGCTTAAACCACTAGGCTACCCCACCACCTGATATTTTGAAGTACCATGGATTAATTCTGTTATTCAATGGAAGCCTATTCTCTCCCCAACATCAAAGCTCAATGTTTCTAAATATACAGCATTCACGTACTGACTGAAGCTTGCACATGGATGGCCGAGTGAGATAAGTATCAACAAATCAGTGTACAGAGTTCTGTCCCTTAGCAGTATTAAGAGTTCTGTCCCTTAGGCATACCACATCATGGATTTGAATGACAGTTTGGTCAGGATTGTTTCTTGGCTTGTCAGCATCATATCCAAGTTCATGGGGTTCTCCAAAGTGGTAAACTCCCAATGATCTAACTGAAATTCTGTTCAAAGTGATGTAAACACACTCACACACACTGATGTTAAGTCAGAATAAAAGCAACAGATATACACATGCATCTTTGATCTGTTTTCTTATGATTATATGTCAAGTCCTCACCTGCAAGTGTATAGTCCATGTCAAAGCCAAAGAACTTGATCTTTTCCAGATGAAGGCTTCGGTTGACAAAGACTCTGAAACAGATATTGTTCATCCATAACCAAATGAATACATTTGTGACACAAAGCACTGCAGCATGAATATATCTTTGCACAAATGTTAATCAGCTAGCCAACAGGACAGAGCTAATGGAATCACACTTGGCCTGCCATTGCCACATAATCTAGGAACAGTGCCAGTATTTTATCAGGATCCTAAACAGTGTTCACAAATGGTGTTTCAAAGTAACAGGACATTGGCCTGTAAGTTTAAGATGTCAGTCTGACCCATTGAAAATTCACAGGACTCATAGAATAAAATTAAACACATATTTCAGATTTAACATTTCTTATAATTGGCATTGAAATTATTAACAAACATAAGAAAAATTAAGATAAAATAAACAGCAAACAAGTGTCACATGTCACATATAATAACTTCAGTCAAAGTCATTGTGAAATATACAGTCGGACACTGGGGCCGGTGGGTTGTAGACTTCTATCTGACCGTTGGCGAATCTGCCAGATTTGCCAGAGGGTCAGACACTATTTGCGAACACTGATCCTAAAGAAGATTATTGCAAAGTACCAGTATATGTTTCTTACAAAACAGAAAGCACCGGAGGTCCATGATCTATAGACTTCAGATAACACCATTCACAGTTTTACCCAGACCATGTAGACATTGTACATGGGATCATCTAGCTAACCTCAGAGGACAAACAAATAAATATCATAAATATCATAAATTTGAATGTAACATTTCTTAAATCATGCAATGAAAAAAGACTACAGTGATGAAAAAACATTGTTTGGGCCATTCTACCTGTGAAAGGAATCAAAATGTAAATCCATGATCACTGCCTAATGTCTCAAAGTAAAAATGTGTATGAGCTGAACAAATATCCAGACATCCAGTTTTACTAAAACTAATAAAAGATCATAAGATCACAAAAGGAATTACAGCCTGTACTTAACACAAGTCATGTCCCAAGTACAGCTAACCAGGAAGGCCTTAGTGTGGGTGATTGCACCAATTGCCTTGTAATTACTCACTTGTTATAGTAAGTATTTGCACTGGTAGTCCTGTATTATATGACCTATCAGAGTTTTTCAGTTGTATATAGTAAATGTATGGTGCTTGCTGTTGAATATTTCCTTTACAATCTTGAAGTATTTTACACAATCAACTATCAATGCAATCAAAGCATGAGCACCACTTTACATATGATAATAAAGATTATTATGTGATTGTAGTTTGCTAATGCATGTCAACTTAAACACATCTTCCCTACAACTTTCAATACTTACAAATTCAATTACCATGCTTATCATTTCAGGTACATGTCTTTCCACAGAAGTGTTACTTTATAATATAATAAAAACATTGTGCTTTATTCCACCTCACCTAGAACCGTTCATCATGTTCATGGTAGTAAATCTTTAAAACTGTCACCCAATTACTCTACTTTAACTAGAAATCTTAACCTGAAGCAATGGGGGAGGGGGGAGAATATAAGGCAGTGACGGCGGAAAGGTTCTTAATCCTGTTATTCACCATATGAAGGGTGACATGCCCTGAGAAGTTCAAATGCTTATATCAAGCTTCAAAAGCCCCTCAACAGTCGTAGAGTTAACATACATTTCTCCAACTAGCCCTATGTGTTCCACGGAACGTTGTGGACAGGATGAAATACAAAATGAGATCAAGGAAAGTGAACTTGTTGCTTGCACAGCAGGGTCACCGGTGGTGTGAGTGACTGTAGTTTCGGGGTTCAAAGAGATGTAAAGATGTAGAGTACTCACAACTGTACACTTGAGTGGGTGAGTGAGTGAGTATGGTTTTACACCACTTTTAGCACTATTCCACCAGAAATGGGCTTCACACACTGTACCAATGTGAGGAATCAAACTCAGGCCTTCGGCGTGACAAGCAAACGCTTTAACCACTAGGCTACCCCACCACCCCACTGTACACTTGAACAACCCTTAGTTACATGCTAGGTTGACACATGTCATTGGTTCCCAATTGCGCAGATCGATGCTCATGCTGTTAATCACTGGATTGTCCGCCGCAATATAGCTGGAATATTGCTGAGTGCAGCGTAAAACTAAACTCACTCACTCACTCACTAGTTACATGCTACATGTGGCATACGCTTGCCCCCTCAGGTTCAAGGGCAGATTAGGTGGGACCTTTACCAACGCATTAATCTATCCAGCATAGATTTCCTGACAGATGAATCTTCACAGGTAAATCTGAGTAAACAGAGACTATGTAGTGTAGATGCTTCAGGACTATGAATGTCAGCAATGTAGAAACTATAGCAAGGATTAGTCATGAGATTAAAAACAATTTGTTATGAACAAATTTAAACTATCGAAGATGGCAATGATCCAAAGTTTCCTCAACACATCACACTTGGCAAGGATAAGTTTGTTATGCACAAAATTCCATTCATAACATCAGCAACCTGTGTCAAACGTTTTACAGTATACTAGTCCTATGTCATAAGCTTCTTATCAGTTGAAGTTAGTGTTATCATCTGGACTATTATTAGTGAGTTTCAGTGAGTGAGTGAGTTTCAGTGAGTGAGTGAGTGAGTGAGAGAAAACGGTATAAAAGCTATACCGAAACGTCGCTACTGTGAAAATAAAGAAGTTATCCATTAAGTTTTGTCATGTGTATAATTTTACTAAACTCAACCTTCGAACTACTGACTGATCTCATAGTGGTACTATATATTGTGAGGGAATTAAAGCATGTTGAAAATGAAACATTACAAACACTGACCATGTTTTACAGAAGGTTTCTATGAGACAAAGGCGTGCTTGATGTCATGTCCACAGTTCAACCTGGTCTAAAAAATCATGTCACATTCTGTGCTTAACATGATATTAATAAATTTAACCACCTACACAGCCCATTTGATGAATGCACTTTACCATCATGTCCGAAGAAAAGGTTTTATTTTTATTTTTTTCTATTATTAAGGCTTTACCCATTTGACGAAGAGGGTGGTTAAGAACTATTTCATCAGCATCAATCACATTATAAATCAAATTTAAACATAGTGCACTTGTAATATTTACCATGCAGAAGGTGGCTATGCAAAGGCAATCACAAATATCTGTTGAAAGTTGAAACAGCCATAAAATCACATCGCGCAAGGCTTCACCGCATAAAAATGTGGTACAATTTCTTGCATTTAGTTGTTCAAGGCGTCGACGTCCTTCATAAATGAGTAAGAAAGCTTTACTTATGCACTGGGGTTAGAAGTGATGAAAAAACGTCGAGAATATGACAGGCTATTTTGCAACAATGATCAATAATCGACATGTGTTTTCAAGTGCAAGTATTGTCTTGAGAAAACTCATGGTGATGTCCATGCTACAAGGTACTATCTCCTCTCACCTGTGATGAGGCTCTCTCCTGTATCTCCGAGGGCAGGGTTCACTGTTGTTATGGACACCATTGGTGCTGGCACCGTTTGCTATGGCAGGAGCTGCCATGTTGTACAGTCAGGGGTGGAAGCTCAGGCTATGTACAAATCTTGGGTATTCAAATAATCGACACTGTGAGGTGGACTTGTAACTCTGAATTTGTTCAGTCTTTCTGAAGAAAAAAAAAAAAAACAAATGAATTCTTATATTTTACTAATATGAAGCTTCGGACCATCCTTCGGACTCAGACTAAGATACAAACTCTTTATTTCGTAGATGATGGCCTGTGAGGCCTATAGCACAATTTCATAAATAAATCAAACATTGTGGTTTGTTATACAAGCGCAAAGTTTGCATTACGGACACTAAACATTTTAGATACATAAATTGCTAGATTTTTAAAAATAGTAGCTTCATGGCTGGACAGTAATTGAATGAATTTTTGTTTAGATGGATACTTATGGTAATATAGTAGTATATACCTATCTCTTGGATGTGTGTATAATGGGCATATTATTAAGGTATGGTATTCGTCTTGCATTGATTATCGTATTCAAAACGGACCATCTATATGATGCAATATTTAATTCCAAGCGGAACAATGGAATTTTGCAAGAATGCCACGCAATTTAGATGATTTGATTTGGTTTAAATATGGCTCCATTTGGAGGGACTAATCAGTCACATATTAACTTTTTTCTTGTTGAAGTTCTTGTGCAATGTTTTACAATAACCATGACAACAGTGAAAGAGATACAAACAAGATCGTGAGAAGGTAGATTAAAGAAGTTAAATGAATCACGATATGTTTAATGTATTTAACTTATCAACACTGAAACCATGGTAGCAAGTACAGAACACATTAATTCATTTTCTTGTTAAATTTAAAACTGCAGTAACAACCTCTATCAGCATGATCAATTGTCTGTTTAAAAACACTTAACGTCAAACTGAGGAGGACTATTAGCCCTTCACACTGAACAGTACTGGTACCAGCTATTTTGGTAAGAATTCGTTTAGTACAATAAATGGCTTCTAAATAATAAATACCAAAATCAGTTACTTGGATTCAGGCAGATTAGCTGAACTAAACCATGTACACCTGTCTCTTAATCATTTAATTAACTCTACCAAGTAACAAGGGCAAACTACAGCTTGGGCATGATAGTAAGGCCAATCTTTAATCATATGAATTAGACAGTAATTTTAAAGGTGGGATTTCTTCATCAGTAAGGGTCTACCTCCTTAACAGAGTGACAAAAGCGAAATTAATCAGGATTTACCTAGATCTGCCAAACGGCTGATTCCAAGGCCTTCAGCAAATGTCAGTAATAACCTGTATTCACTGTATTTCAAAGATAACTGGAACAATAAACAGGAACAGGTTTGGGAGTTTAGTTTTCATGGCATAATGCAATCTCAAAATACAATGTTAAAATGCCCCTGAACATGCTGAATATAAGAATATAATAAGGTTGAAAATATTCATAATTTTGAACAATATAACAATGTTTTCCCAAAATTAGTGAATCCTTCAGGACATAGCTCTGGATAAATATAAATGTTAGCAAATTTGTTTAAGTTCAGTTTTATCAAGTAACACAATCAGGTTATGTGCTACACAGTAGCCTGTTTCATGAGTATTGTCAATATAATATTTGAACCCAAAGGTCTCCCAAATTAAAACTTTTAACATTAGACTTATGACAAGGACCCCTAGACTTTCATGCCTGATTCTAAAAACTGCATCTAAAACATTACTAAACTAACATGCCAGACTTCTCACATCACAAGCAGTCATGGCTTATGCTAATGAACACTAAACACTGCCAAATCCATGTACAGCCCAGGCACTGAAGCTTTCACCAACATTCACACAGTGGTAGAAACAGGTGTGACTCACCCCATCATTCCTATAGCTCATGGTAGCTATATTCAAATAATGAGGTTGTAATGAAGAAAACAAATGCCAACATTCAGAACAGATTCTTACACAATGACAAGCTTCAGTATTTGAGATTGGCATCTTACCGAATGACAGTAAGCTCTGGAGAAGAATGGCTTACCTGCCGTTGTATGAGGAGCCTGTATACACTGATGAAACTAAAGCACACTGACACACAGGTGAGCACTGTACATCTGTGTTTACAACTACTTCCTCAAGTATATAACTGGGACATACATACATGAGTGAGAGGAACAGACCCACGAAGCAGCCACTTGCTGCCAGGCTAAGGTAACCCGATATCCGCGTGGAACATTCAGTGATCATGTGATCTCCAGATATATAGCCCATGTAGACAGAACACTTACTCTTCATCCTTGTACTTGGCCACATTCACCCGCATGTTCAGACCATGATTTGTTTGTCCCTGCACTACATGCCCCCAAATGAAATTAATCCCGACAGCAGTCTGCAGATGTAACCACTAGACCAGAAACTAACAATAGCTATTATTACCATCAAGCATCATAGCCTATGTAATATTGAAAATACTGATAACTGTGTTTAGGCATTGTGACTCAAACAGTTTTAAGAGTTATGTTTGGGATTGAAGACAGAAAGTTGTTTAGCATACTGTTAAATCTAAACTTCCAAAAGACATTTCATCAAGAATACAAACCAGCATGTAATATATCCACCTCAGTATTAACTAACAGCATAACAAATGAATGCTGATAAACATGATGAAGGTAACTGAAATATAGATAGAGCCAGATACACATCTCTCTTCAAGATGATATGACACTTCCCAAAATGATGCATAATGCATAATGTTTCTATCAGACATAAACATCTCCAATACCAGTATGAAATATGATTAAAGACATTCTCACCAAGCCCTAAAGTTTTGATAATTCTAATTCAGTAAAACTTTGTAAATCAGTAAGCCTAAAAAGCTTAATAATAAGACACGGTCAATTTAATAACAAAATCTACTGAAAGCAATGTTATACGCAGGGTTTAAGATCGGTTTATTGTTAAGGAGACTGACTAACATTAAAATGTCCTAAAATACAATTAGCATCAAATATAATTGAAATAAAAGTTGAAAAAATTGTGCAAATGTCTTATTGCCATTTGACTCTGACAAAACTACTATTTATAGCAAGTACAGCAAATTCAGACAAGTATATTCAAAGCGTTTTTGTACTGACAGTAATAACAGTGAATTCCAAGATCATGATGATTATTAATACAGTGAAACCTGCCAACACCGGCACCTGTCTAATCAGGCACACTGTCAAAACCGGGCATAAAATTTTGGTCCCACCATTTCACAACCGTATTATGATCATTAAAACATGGTCTAATCCGGCACCTGTCTATTCCATATTCCGGCACGATTTTGCGGTCCCAACAAGCAATTTTAACTGTAATGAACACTGTCTAAACCGGCATGGGTATGAGCAGTCCAATCAAGGACCCATAATCCAATACACTAATTAATCCTCTTGGCGCGCTACATAATCAGGAAGTAGCGATTGCGTGGTGGATCAAAGGCTCTAAGCCGGCATGGGTATGAGCAGTCCCTTAATCCAATACATTGTTGCACAATTACAAAAGATCAAAGGCATTGTAGAGATAAAGAGATTGACGAGTGTAAATGGCAGCCATGTTGGAAAATGATCGTCACTGTCTAATCCGGCACCCTGTCGAAACCGGCATTTTATTTCGGTCCCGTGGGGTGCCGGTTTAGACAGGTTTCACTGCACATGTATTTTCATCTTTGGGCATTGATGCTAAGACAAATAATTGGGATAGCATGGGATGCATAATGCACTATGTATAGCAGTCATTACAGCTTATTAGTTTATTTGCATTAACTCATGCATGCTATGCTCTGAGCACATTTGATTATTCTAATTGTATGTATGAATGTATGAGAGACCATAATGAATTGTGTAAGCAATTATCTGGTAGTTTTCAACTCAATTTGGAACTAAACACATCACTATTTCAAATATCTAAGACCATTACTGTTGTAGTGTTGTTATCATGGTTATACCCTTCAGCTGTGGGGATCGTGTCTACTGCTGTAGTACTGTTATTCCCCACAGCTGCAGGGATTGTGTCTACAGATGTAGTACTGTCATGCCCTACAGCTGCAGGGATCGTGTCTACTGTTGTAGTAGTTATACCCTACAGCTGCAGGGATTGTGTCTACTGTTGTAGTACTGTTATACCCTACAGCTGCAGGGATTGTGTCAACAGATGTAGTACTATTAAGCTCTACAGCTGCAGGGATTGTATCTACTGCTGTAGTACCTGCTGTAGTACTGTTATTCCCTCTGGCTGCAGGGATTGTGTCTACTGCTGTACTACTGTTATTCCCTCTGGCTGCAGGGATTGTGTCTACTGCTGTACTACTGTTATTCCCTCTCTGGCTGCAGGGATTGTATCTACTGCTGTACTACTGTTATTCCCTACGGCTGCAGGGATTGTATCTACTGCTGTACTACTGTTATTCCCTACGACTGCAGGGATTGTATCTACTGCTGTAGTACTGTCAAGCCCTACAGCTGCAGGGATTGTGTCAACAGATGTTGTACTATTAAGCCCTACAGCTGCAGGGATTGTATCTACTGCTGTACTACCGTTATTCCCTACGGCTGCAGGGTTTGTATCTACTGCTGTAGTACTGGTATGCCCTACAGCTGCAGGGATTGTGTCTACTGCTGTAGTACTGTTATTCACTACAGCTGCAGGGATCGTGTCTATACTGTCACAGTTCTATTATCGTCATTATGCCCTTCAGCTGCAGGGAACATGTCTAAGGCTACAACAAGACAAATACGATATGTTGAACAAATCTATAGTAACAGGGAGAGAATGCAATTTTTCAAAGGTTGCCAGAGAGCCACACACAGATTACTTTGATTACAGTGCCTTGAAAAAATAAGCATGGCCATAACTTTTCATGATCAAATTAAACTTCAAACATCGAGAGAGAGAGCGAGAGAGAGAGAGAGAGAGAGCGCTATCTAAGTATCTTTTCTGACTAAATCTCCGAATAGATGTTCAATGGAATCAAACGTTTCTCCGAATAGATGTTCAAGGAAATCAAACGTTTACCTTGCCTGGTAGCACAGAAGTAAATAGAGCTGCACTAATCTTCATTACTTGAAAGATATCAATGTGTGCTAGTTTATGTTACTCACATGTCACAGAAGAAGCGCTATTCTTATATAGTGGTTTTCGAGAGGTCAAAGCTGTCAAATGTCTAACGCAAGGTGTTCTTGTCTTATCGTCAGCTGTTTGGGGCGCAGTGATATAGAATTGGGGTCATCTGCCATAAACATTAGTGTACCCAGAACTAATGTAGTCATAATGCGTATGTATTGTCTTGTCAGTAAATCAAGAATGGAAATGAGTTACTTGAAACACACTACAGGGATGTGTGTTATTGTACATTGAGAAACAACAATGGACTATTTGCAAGACCTGTCGAACAGAAAAAATGGCGCTGCTGACATGTCACGTGATATCTATTTTTAGCTTCAATCCCCCCCCCCGTTTCTTTTCAACATTTTGTTTGACTAAATTTCTTCTCCCATGCCACCGGAAAGGTTTTCGACATAAAGATAAAACTATTATTTTAGAAATGAATTGATTTAAATGATTGTTTATTTGGTGAAGCATGGATTCTATCCAAATGTTTGAGGTTTTTTACAGACAAATTTATTAAGTCTTCAACTCGGAAAAGACATTTATAAAATTTCCTGTGACAATGTATGATTAGGATTAACGTTTTAAGGTTGAAATGAGGAAACAGATTCAACAGGAATATTATACAAATATTTATTATCAATATACTTTAGGTCGGTGATTCTTTTCATCAAGTACTAACCGAATTTCTTCACGTATGGGAAATATTACGATTCCTTAGAGTGAAACCTATCCTCATATATGTTCTATAATTAATTTACACCGAAAGATCTTTGCAGAAGAAAGAACACAATGACTATTAAAATATTGTAGGTGTAAATATGCTTTTACAGGTAATATTTTTTATGTAAATGTGATTTTACAGGTCATATTTTGTTGATATAAATGTTTTTACAGGCAATATTTTGTTGATGTAAGTAGATCTATAGTTTGTACAGGTAATACGAACGTGCCATACAGAGCTTCATCGGGCCAACTTTTCAACATATATATGACCTATAAAAAATTGAAGATCTTAACAAGCGCTGTGAAACAATATAAGGCGATATACAACAAAGTTTCATAAATCACTTCTCCCACTAGATCGATTCATACAAGGCCTCTTAAATTACGTCTCTTGTTGAAGGGACAGCGTGACATGGTAAGACTAGGTGTGATAAGCGGTACGTGTTTTGTATTGTCTGTGAGTGAGTGAGGTTCGTTTTACGCCGCACCCAGCAATATTCCAGCTATATGGCGGCGGTCTGTAAATAATCGAGTCTGGACCAGACAATTCAGTGATCAACAGCATGAGCATGAGCATCGGTCTGCGCAGTTGGGAATCGATGACATGTGTCAACCAAGTCAACGAGCCTGACCACCCGATCCCGTTAGTCGCCTCTTACGACAAGCATGGGTTACTGAAGGTTCATTCGTACCCGGGCCTTCAAGGGTTGTAGTCTGTGAGCAGTAAACATTTACGTAAGTACTTCCTGTACATACGAACTTCAATTTATATCTACTAATTCCTGCAAAGCACGTAATCCCTGAATATGTGACTTTCATCAGTTTGACTTGACCCCCTTGGGGCGTTGGGGTAGCTAAGTGGTTAAAGCGTTCGCTCGTCACGCCGAAGACTGGGTTCGATTCCCAATATGGTTACATTGTGTGAAGCCCTATTCTGGTGTCCCACGCCGTGTGATATTCCTGGAATATTGCTAAAAGCGGCGTAAAAACATACCCACTCACTCACTCACCTTCGTCCCCGGTAATCAAATTTACTGACTGAAGAATGTTATTCGACAAAGGGGAACATATGACCGCAATGTTTAAATAACTTGCTACTAGTCTAGATCTTCAAATAGCTCTTCTGTTTGAATTATGTAAGGACTACCTTGAATGGTGCCAAATTCAAACATAAAGGTGTTTGGAAGTCGGTCAATGTCGATCTGTTAGTGGAAATTCCCTTACACAGTAATTTTTTTATTTATTTATTTATTTTTTATTGGTTCCCAAGATTACAATATTGCAGATATACCAAGCCGTGATTCGTACGGCTTAAAGTAATATGTCTACATGATGTACAGGTGAGATATTTTTGTATTAATATATTTATAAACATGCATAATTCATTAAATAGATAATGTACAGATGTACAGGTGAGATATTTTTGTATTAATATATTTATAAAAACATGCATAAATCATTAAATAGATAATGTACAGATAATGTCAGGTA